GGTCTTTGTTGATGGCTTTGAAACTTGAAAGTTCGAACTCCAAGCATTAGCTGCTTTCATTTATTTTGTGTCAGAAATGGATAAGCATAGCCCCATAATGGAAATATCCCAGACACGAGTTGTTGCTTTCCTAATCATCTAGAGTGCATTGCTCTTTGCATCAAATTTAAATGTGATCCAATGTGAAATGTATTCCAACTTTCATTGGGTTAGGAGAATGAGTCACGAGGCGAGGGACCGTGCATTTTTCGTATGTCTGGTTTGTGTCGGTGAGGATTTTTGAGTGTTGTTAACAACTCAAGGGTTTAAAATTTCAGTTTTTCTTTTGGGCATGGACAAAGTAGAACTCTGGGTGGTGTGCCGGCGCCCTAGGAGTGAGTATGATGTAACATAGATGATGTTAGTAGTTTTATTTATTTATTTTTTTTTTATTTTGGGTTAAAGTCAATTGTCATCCCTATACTTTGAAATTTTATTCATTTCAGTCCCTCTACTAATGATTTGTTCATGATCATCCCTCAACTTCCCCCAAAGAGCCAAACATCATTCCTCTACTTCCCCTTTTTTGTTCAATGTCATCCTTTTCTGACGTTGTTCATATTGCCATCAATTTAGATCATTAATTCCTAAATGTTCAATAGTTAAACCATTTGTTAAATTATTTTTTTCCACCTGCACTACCAGCTGGTTTCAAATAGGGACCACTTTGCCACATTTTAAATTTGATAACCTTCCTTTTTCATCTCTCTCTATCTCAACATTTTCCCCAAATGCCTGCAAAAACCCTAGGCCCCAAATTCTTCTTGCTATTCTTCAATCACACAAAATCAGGTCATGCCATTGATGTCTATGTGTAAGCCTTGCAATTTCTCTCCAAAAGCACAAGATTCAAAACTACTAAGTTTGAGCTATATGCTATGAAAAGTACACCTTTGACAAATTGAAGCATTGGGTATCTAACAAATTTGCCCCCATAATTTAGGTATATATTATATTCAATATAATCAACCATGTCATTACACCTACAAAAATTAGGGACTACGCATCAGAAAAGAGCAAAAGAACTATTTCTCAATGTCTATTTCATTTTGCAGTGGATGACAACATAACCAAATAAATAATTAACATCATAACATTATATTTAATCAATCTTTAAATTAATTAATAAAAAATTACCAATAGATTATTACTTCATAAAAAGCCTTAGCATTTTGCTCAAAGCACAATGTCTTCCTCTTTTAAGAGATTCTTGTATTCTTGTACTCTATATCCTAAGCTTTTTATGTTTTGGGGAATAAACATAAAAAAGGGCTAACAATATATGTTAGCCACATGGACTAGGTCATGTGATGGATAGTAAGCGAAAAAATTGCTACCTTTTCTTCTCCCCTTTGTTTTTATTTTCCAGCCTTTCTTACTCTTGTTAAGGTGTTTGCTCGATTGGTATTTTTGCAACCAAAAAAAAAAAAAAGAAAGTATGGTGGTTTGAGCTAGCAACACATAAAACGTCTCATAGTGATTCCTATTTTAGCGCAAATAACAGCACAAGTGGAAAAAAAGCTTTAATAAATGGTTTAATTATTGACTGATTAGGAATTAATAGTCCAAATTGATGATGACATGAATAGTGTAAAAAAAAGGATGACGTTGAA